AAGTCAGAACTGGCGGTCAGTTTCAGCAGCAGCTGAATCTGGACGCCAGTTCCGACTTACATACAGATTCAACTTAAGAACAAACCCACAGTCCCTATCTTGTACGTAACCTGGGGACTGCCTGTATTTTAAACCTGTTGCCTATTCATTTCATTGGATGAGTCGTCGTTTTTTGTTACTAGGAGTAAATAACACACCTTTATTTAATTTCTCCACATCAATCATGATTTTATAGATATCTATCATATTCCCACATATAGTGGTCTCTTTTTCCAAGTTGAATTACACTATGAATTTAAATTTGCAAAAGGTTTGAAAACATATTTTAATCAAACTTAGATGAATAGATGGTAGGGATGTAAAAACCTAGTTAGTTGGTTAGTTAACTGGTTTAATTGTTATGTTTAACCAATTAAACAAGTGTGGAAAGGCTGGGCTGGTGTGGCCCCCTTGCCATGGGCGGAAGCTGCTCTGGCTGGGGTGGAGCGCCCCTGCCCACAATGTGCTCCATGGGGCTGGAGCAGCAGCGGAAGGTGCTCCAGCTCCCACCAGTTAACTGTAACCACTAAGCATCACCCAATAAGGGTGATGCTTACCGGTTAACTATTCACATCCCTCAGGATGGTCTCTATTGCTGAATAATAAAGATAATACTTTACGTTTGGGGTGGTTGGTTTTTTTTCAATTTACCAGTATGAGTAAAATCTAAAACTTGAAGTACACATTAGGATGTAAGCAACTAGTCAACTACCCGATAAGCAAATGCTTATCGGGTAGTCGAGTAGGAACTTGACTAGTTGCTTTCCCCATTCCTTGCTGCCTCTATTAGAGAGAGGCAGCAAGGGGGGGGGAACATGAGGCAATGCTGGGGGGGAGGGCAGTTTAAAAGCTAGTGCCACCCCCAGCACTGTCTCCGTGTGGGACAGGAGAGGTAGGGTGCAGTGGGGAAATGGCATGAGCAGGGATTCAAACAGTCCCGCTGGCACCTGCAGCTCTTGTACGTTTCAGAGGAAGAGGCACAGGGGGCTGCTTTGCTTCCTTCTGCTTCTGATGTGGTTCCGTCATCTTCTTTCCCTTTGAATGTACAAGAGCTGCCACTGCTCTTGTATATATCAAAGGGAGAGGCGCAGTGGGATAGTGAGCTCCCCCTCCTTATTGACTAATCAGGTAGTCAATGGAAATTCCATCGACTACTCGATAAGGTGATTAATCAAAATTTAAGATCCCTAGTACATATTCTATATTCATTTTGACCTGTACTCAGGGTTTGAGGTAGATACAGGATTTGTTTTACCTTTTAAGATGTTGGAAACTTTTTATTGTAATATTGTGTGCTTTTACCAAAATAAACAAATGATGGACACAGTGCGGAAAAGTTATACAAGAATGCAAACTGAAGCCATATCTTTACTTGGACTCAACTAGGTAATTGAATTGGGATTGATCTAAGGTCTGATTGAGAAACCTTTTTTGCAAATAGGTTTAACAGGGACCGTTTCAGGTACTTCTGAAATTTGATATTACAAAAGGTCTGAATTCATTATAATATTTTAAATTTTTCTTCAGGAACATTAAATGCATTTTCAAAAAAGAGATCCACAATACTCACTCACTTATAGGCGCTGCTCTGTCATTAGGCTTGGAAGGATAAGCTATTTTTTGTGTACAGCAAAATTAACATTTACCAACTAAAATAAACATATTTCTGTTGATCATTTAATTGGAATTTATGGCCAGGCAAAGTTTAAACAAGTGCCACTTGAAAACATATTGGAGTTTGATTTTTAAGGATAATTGCTTTGTATATTTTAGCATGTGATGATTAGCTTTAACTTTTTGACTCTCAATATCTACTGTTATTAAATAACTATTATCTGACCTCCCTTCCTGTAATTTTGCAAATAAAAAGGGGTCAAAATAAACTCTTATCAATTTAAATTATTTTTTAAAGAATCAAATTCTGTCAAGACTACTCGTTGGCAATCTCAGCAAGCAAGGACAAAGATTAAATGACCACGAGCAAGTAACTAAATTACTCCTTTAGCACTGGGTAGTATCCTGGTAAACCAGGAAGAGGCACACTTGCGAAATGAAGTTAGGTATCTTGTCTTCTGTGCTATCCTATTTTATATATAAACAGAAACTTTCACTCTTCACCACTGTCATCTTTCATAAAAAAAAATGTAATTCACTTATAATATATTTTACTAACTTCTGTTCCTTTTCCTCTTTTTAGATTCTTCTCTCTGATATCTCAGAAGTTAGTTGGCCTAGCCCCAATGCCACTGATGCAATAATATGTATGGATAATGGCAGTGTAAAAATTTCATCCTTAGATGGTCATGCCTATCTCTGCATGTCAGAACTGCAGCAGGAGTTTACAGTGGAGTTTTTATGTAAAGTAAGCCACAAGTCTGCAGCGTCTTCACCGTTCTCTGAAAAAAATAGCAATCATCAGTGTGGAAAATCAAGCCAAAATTTTGTCTCAGAAATGTTTGTTAAACAGATGAGAATGGAGAATAAGAAAGAGGAACGTTGCTGTACTAAAAACAAATACGGGGAACTGGATAAAACAAAGGATTATTTAAGCCAAATAAAAGGACAAGATGAGGCTCCACTGTCTCTTACATGCTGTCCATCCGAATATGTGTGGGTTAGGCAGCGCTGGTCTGTTTCCTCATATCCAGAAGAATGGCAATACCCTTTGTCGTTGGCATTAATGTTCTATCAGTTGCACACTTATAATGCATGTAAAACAGGTGTGGAGAATAAATGCACTAGAAAGATAACTGCAGGATCGGATATTTTAAAGGAAAGTGAAAAATCAAAGACAGTTTCTCATTTGCGTGGAGCTTTGCCACTCAGCTGTAGTGCACCACACCTACACAGGTAACTGAGAAAATTTGTTTGCTTTTCTTCAATGTATTTTACAGTTCCCTAACAAATCAGCTAAATCAGATCTTCAGCAATGTACATTTAAAATGTTTTTCTTACAAACTTTATGAAATTTAGTATTCATAAGAGTAATAGTACATAGATCAGTATAACAAATTATAATAGTAACCTGAAGAAAAAATGCTATGCTGAAATATTTGGTATATTATAGAGAGAGAACCTCAACTTGGACAAGTATGCAAGTAAAAATAATGGGGATATTGGAAAAATATAACTTTTGAATTTGGGGAAAGTAATGCTTGGGAATTTTGCCAGTGTCAAGGATGCCTTTTTTTAAACTTTGTGTATTTTCAGAAAAAGGAGGATAAGATGTATGTATTTATATTTGTTTATAAAAGGACACATCCATTCTTGTTGTCAGTTCACCAAAAAAAAATCATATTTGATTTTAAGTAACTTGGTTCTACCTAAAGGGAGCTATATTTTGAAACTCCACTTAAATGGTAATAATTGAGCAGATTGAGTTTCCTTGAAACAGTTTGTAAGGGTGATAAAGTTTGAACACTCTCTCATGCACCAGTTTACTCTGAGACCTTTCATGGACTGAAGAGTAGGGTGGTTCTCAGTTCATCAATGTGCAGTTCCTGAGACTGTGCTGTTCCTGCTTCTTTAACTGAATTGAGTATTTATGTACATATTTTATAAAAAATTAAGCACATTGTATAAATTATACAAAGATTTTCCTGGTTTTATTGAAAAGTGCAAAAATACAAGTAATAATAATGCTAAACTTCAAACTTATCACAGTTTTTCTGTCTATCTTTTTCCCAGGTGGAGTTTCTGTAACTCTTTACTACAGAGGGAGCAAGATAGTGAATATAATTCACACCCTTTACTAATAAAAATTGTATGGTGCCAGGGTATTATTTACAGGTAAGAAACACATAACTTTGGTCACTTCTGGAAGCTTGTGCACTTTTGTGGATATTGGGAATTTGAAAATGTCATTCTATTTTACTTCCTGAGGAGTGAGTTTAAATTCTGGCTATGTTTATGCTGTGTTTTCAGGGTTAATTTACTCTGAAATAAAACTTCATAGACTGTGATTTGGCCATTGTATTAGCTTGGCAGTAACATTTCTCACTGTGTTGAAAAATGTTTTCGCCAGTCTTCTTTGTTTAATTTATCTGAATTTTTAAAAAAAGTGCGTCATAATTTCTTGTGCTTGAAAATTCTGAAATAAGTATATATTCTAGTGATGTAAAAGTCTAACTGGCTAAACAGTAAGCTGTTGCTTATTGGTTACCATTAATGGTTAAACTCTGCATGAGCTGGCAGCTCTGTGGTTAACCGTGTAATTGATAGAATTTTGATCGCTTACACGATTAATATTTTTATTCATTTTTTACATCCCCAATGTATTGCACAGATAAAGTTAGGACTCATAAATAAATAAGAGAACTGATTATATATTAGTATTGAGCACCTGTAGCTCTTATGGTTGTCAGTCAGAATTGAGTACGGCTTGTTTAGGACTAATTTCATGTAACAATGTTAATCTCAGTTTCTAAATTAATCTAGATTTAACAGTCAAAAGTTATATTTTTCCAAACTCTGTTATGGACTAACTATATACATGTATATGCAAATCACTTTAACAGATTATTTAAATGCTGCTTTCACATTTGCATTATAACTGTTCATCTGAAATGTTACTATTTAATACACTGAAATGAAAGACATTTCAACTGTGAAGAATGTAATACTATAGTGGGAAAGCAAATACTTTAAAGCTTCATTCTACTAAAGTCAAGATCATAAAAAATGCATCATGGCCTGTGAAATCTGGTCTCTCTTTCTCCCTCTCCTCCCAGAAATTTTTTGTGTGTTTACCTTATACTATACAGATTTCATATAGAGAACAGCATTTTTCAAGTTGGAGATCCTGACCTGAAAAAGAGTTTGAGGGGGATGGTGAAGTTATTTTAAAGGGAGGGGTGTCACGGTATTGTCACCCTTACTGCTTCACTGCCTTCATAGCTGGGCGGCTGAAGAGTGGTGACGACTGACTAACGGCCTAACTTTGCAGTCAGCAATACCGAAATAAGGGTCGCAATACCATCCATACTTCTGCACTGCTGCTGGTAGTAGCTCTGCCTTCAGCACTGGGCTCTTGGCCAGCAGCCACTGCTCTCCAGCTGCCCAGCTCCTCCTGCAAACCTCCTGCAATAACCTTTTGACATTCACATCCCCTTTGTGCACACAACTCCAATTTGAGTAAGGCCCCTACAATTACAACACATTACATATATGTTACAAGTGAAATTTCAGATTTGAATAGCTGAAATGAAATTTACAATTGTAAAATTCCTGTGACTGTGAAATTGACCAAAATGGACTGTGAATTTGGGCCCTACCAATACTATACCATAGCTGAGTAAAGCCTCCTGAACTTCAGTGGGGTTTTCGATGGGCATAGCGTACTGCCCATTCAAATTAAGTTGCAGGATTGGACTATAGTCATAGTTCACATAATGTTGTGTGATCTTGTAATGAAAAATCCTGTGTCATATCAAAATAACCATGCAAGGAAGAGGTGGCCATATAGCTAAGGTAAAATTGAATCTGAATTTCTTTGCCTTTTGGGGGTTTTAATCAGAACTTCCTCCTAATATGGAAACATACCCCCCACTCCTTCATCATTGTATATTTCACATCCAATGCCATTGGATAAATTATGTTTTTATGGGAGAGCCTTTTTTAAGTTTCTTATATTTAAATACCTATCTCCAATTTGTAAAAACATAATGCTAAGCTTCCCTTTTAAAAGGGAAAGTAAACAATAAGGATATTGTTTGGGGAAACAAGGAAATAACTTTTCATGTGGAGGCTTTAGTGAAAGGATTAGTAAATTACCCTCTTTTTTCCTTTAAATGGCAATACTCATAGTTTTTAACTTCTTTTGTACTTTTTTATCCTCTGATCTCTTAGGCTTAGCCATGATATTGCAAACTTTATAGAAATTTATCCTGGAGATGAATCAGTTTTCAAGTCAGAAGGAGCATTTTTGGGAAACTATTTCACACACCACTCAATTTGCAAAGAAACAAGACAGGTGGGAATCACGCTATTTAAAAATACCAAACTGTTTTATTACCTGATTACTTCTATAATACAAATAAGAGGCAGCATGGTACAGTGGATGTGACCTAGCAGGCCTGTATTCTACTTACTCTGGGACTGAACTACTAAACAAGTCACTTCACCTCTTTGTCTCTGTCCCTCTGACTCTTTCTTTTTTTTCTTATCTAGTTAATGTTCTTTAGGGCAGAGACTGGCTGAAGTGTTTGTACAATGGGCACAAAATGACTTGGGGATATCTCAATTTTAGCTAGTGCTGCCATAAAATAAATGTTTAAAAATATGGTAACAGCTAGGACCATCAAATCTGGTGTGTGGCTCCCTCTGATCATAACTTAAAGCAAAGTCAGGGTTTGGTTGAGGCAGGAAAATGGGATGTGCCTGGAATTTGATTATTTTCCATAATATGGAGAGGACTGATTCGAGGCACACAACACTGAAATCACCCCTGTGAATTCTGGGGACCGCTGTATTGCTGAGTGGCCACTGGGGGCAGCTGCACTAGGAAGGGAGTGGCAGGCTGGAGACAGGGTTCACCATCTTGCTAGCCACCAACTCAGGTAAGTGGCTCCCCTGGCCACAGTGTCTCCCCCATCCCTGCCAGCCACAGCCTTGGGCAGTGGGGCTCAGGGGGAAACCCTGCAAACCCCACTGCAGTGGCCTCCAGCCTGCGTAGCACCTCCTCCCCCAGTCTGGGTCCACGGAGTGCCATTGGAAGGTGTCCACAGCCCCCTTGTCCCAGGGAACACGAGCAGGTGGCCTGTACCCCTGCCTGCAACGCCAGGTAAGTCAAAATGGTCACAAAGGAATGTTGCAAAGTGTTACTTGTTTGGGCTGTCGAAACCAGGATCTTAAAATGAGGGACTTGAAGAGCGTATGGATAACATGAACCTTTATGTTTACATCTTAGGAGTTGCTTAGGACCTTGCCCTGGAAATAGTTATGTTTTGGTTCCATCTTCTTCTTGGTCTGATCAGAATATCTTTCAGAATCAGAAAGCAGGAACTTACCATCACAGTTGGGCCATTCAAAATAGGGGCCTCAATCTTCAAAATGTTTCTATTCCATCAAAATGATCCAAATCAAAATAAGTTTCTAGATCCATCAAGGGAATATCACTTTGTTTTAAGGTTTTGGTGCTTTATCATGATGATTTTGTAATCTCGCCAGAACAAGATGTATTAGTTCAGTCTGTATGTATTTTCTTCGATTCTCTTCCCTGCTCCCTCTCAAAATTTTATTTAACATGCTTACAAAGTGAAATGTTTCTCCTACAATCTTTCAACCACTTTAGATATTTTAAGAATTTAAAGCAGGATAAGAGTCAACACAACAGGTCTCAAAACTGGTTCATTATTTGGATTAGCATCACCATGTACATGCGGGCAAAATCTGCCCTCTGATAAAAATATTCAGTTCCTGTTTAGTCTGTGCAAGTTCTGTGACTGTAGAATGTGGCTTAATGAACATGACTGCCCTTTAGCTTTGAAATTATATTCTTATTCATCCTTCAACACAATCATGCTGCTAAAACAGCATGGGTGAAGGGATCACCAAAACTTGATACCTTGCTAGCTCTTAAATACCACACCATCTATAAATAACTCTTCTACTTTATCTTCTAGAGAGAAGAAAAGATGTATTCAGCAAATAGTCTGCCTCCTGATATACCAGAAAGTCCATACTCTGTCTGTTCCATTATTACTCAGGCAATCAGGTGAACTATTTCTTTGTTTGATTTTTCATTTATATTAAGAGAAATCTAGTTGAGGGGCAGCCAGAATATGGCCAGTCAAACATTTGGATGCAGTCTGCCACATTGTTTTGGGCCGCCAATGTCCTGCAGCCCAGTAGGACCATCAGGCAGGCTGCCTTCCATGGCTGCTCATGCCACTCCAAGTGACCAGCTGCTGAGGCTATGTGAATCTGTGTCACTGGGAGAGGGGCTCCGTGTGTGGTCCCCAACCCCAGCACAATCCTTGCAACTCCCATTAGCCGGGTGTGTGGTGAAGCTCTCCCCCCTCCTCCTAAGGGGTGCATGGCACAGACTGCTCCAGCAGCTGATTGCTTTTTAATGGTGTGTGGGGCCACAGTAAGCAGAGTTACCTGAGAATCCCACTGAACTGCTGGCCAGGAGCCACTTAGTGTGGTAAGTGCCTCCCAGTCAGAGCCGGAACCTGGCACCCTATCCCATCCCTTGCTCCAACTCTCTGCCCCAGGTTACAACCCAAACACTCTGTACTCCTTCCTGCAGCCCCCTTCTGCACCCAAACTCCTTTCCAGACCCCACACCACCTCCTGTACCCCAGTCCCCTACCCAAGTTCCCTTCTACACTCAACCTCCATCCCAGACCCCACATCTCCTCCCTTAATCATAGAAGAATGCAGCCCTCAACTGCTTACCAAACGCTTGGTGTGGTCCCCCATCAAAAATGATTGCCCCACCCCTGCTTTACCCCTTCGGAAGGGCATTCAGTAACACAGACAACAAGATAAGGATTATTATTTTATTCTAGTTAGACTTCAACTATAACTGTGAGTAAAAAATAAAGTAATTCATATCACTGGTACCAGAAGCATATATAAACCTAATGAAATACAGACCCTTAACAATAACTGTGTGAATGAATCTACATTAAGCATGCAGTGCAGCATGTTTTCTGCATATGAGAGATGTATTTTTTCTTTCCAGAATTCTCCAGTATTGTTACAACACTAAACTTTCATTAACCCATAATTACAATATTTGCTGCTGGAGAATGGTATGTAACTGAAGACTTGTAAGTATGCCAACACTTTTACTATTAGCATGTGCTTAGTAGAGTTGATAGACAACAGCTTCTGGAAAAGGAAAGGTAGTGTTGAAATCACTAATACATTTGAAATTATTAATATTGATATGGGAAACCACCAAACATTCATTTAACCATAAATTCCTTTTATTAAATCCAAAGGCCAAATGGTATTTATACAATTGTTCTAAACATGCATAAAAATCTTCACTAATAAAGAAATTTACAATGTCTAAACAGTAACAACATTTATAAGCATTTTATAAAATCACATTTATAAGCATTTTATAAAATCACATTTATAAGCATTTTATAAAATCAGGGAGCCTGAACTCATTGAATGTCTGGGGATTGTCAGCAAGTCAGAGATAAGAACCAGGCAGAGATGCAGGTTACTGATGTTCAGTAAAAAAGCTGCACTGAGAATCTGGGTACAAGTTAAATACTAGTAACGACATCACTTTATTTTAAATATAGTAACTTTTATTTTTTTCTTGAATACTTGTTTCACATTAGATACCAGGGACAGATGGAAGAGAAATGCTGCCAGTACCGTTGCATGAAAGAGTTATTCCCAATGTAGGAAGACTTGTTGCATATTCAGATAATAAAGTGCACGCTCTATTTTGTGATGGGATGATCTTGAATATGGTTTGGGACTTCAGCTCTTGCTGTGGAAAAACACAGGTGATTCTCAGGAGCAGATAATCAGCTATTTTTATAATCTTTCCATCTGAAGGTGACATAAGTTGAATAAATGTGAAGTCTAGGGAGAGTTTTTATATTCGGTTCTGATATGCGCAAGAATCGTGCAGTTGGGAAACCTCCTATATGTCCTAGGTTTATAAATCACACTGGTTCACTGTCACAAGCTGGTAAATTGATAATTCATATAGTTAAACATCTGACCTCTCTTTGTTTGCCACTGTCGATTATATTGTCAATATTATAACCAGAGGACTCCCAGAAAAGGTTTCTCTTTTAGCCTGTAATGACAACCCTTGTCTCATAATCATAACTAAGGAGAGGAGCGCTGCTACTTATAAGTTTGCTATTATGTGCATTTTGTTGGAACAATTTATCCTTGAAATATATACTAAGTATACTGATAGTATGAGAGAATGTTCACTTTCTTTTTGTGAATTTGGAATGGGTGGTGGTGTCTCAGATGACCATCTCCTTAGATAAAGTGTCAAAGTAAAAGGGTGGCGTATAACTTAATTTATATTTACAAATTATATAGCACTAGAAGATTTACCTGGAGTTGTTCTACCCCAGTGTTTCTCAAAGTAGTCCATGAAATCAGTGTTTGGGAATACTTTGCACTAGGAACTCCCAGTCAGAGTTTATTTTCTCTCTGCTCATGTCACTAGACAATACCTTAAATTAGGGGTCCCAACCCACAGTCTGAGAACCACAAAGTGGGTTGCCACCCCATTTTAATATCGTCTCTGGGGTTGAAGCCTGAGCCCCACTGCCGAGTGCCAAGGGCTTTGGCTTTGCCTCCTGCCCCAGGACAGCAGGGCTTGGTCAGGCTCAGGCTTAAGTCCCCCTTCTTGGGGTCATGTAGTGATTTTTGTTGTCAGAAGAGAGTTGCAGTGCAACGAAGTTTGAGAATCTGTCTTATATCCATAGCCAGATAAAAACATTTGTAGATATTTCTTTTTGAACAAGCATATGTAGTTGTGGTTACTTTAAGAATGCCTCTTTGATTCCATTGCAGAACAATGATGCTCTTTCCTCTGACTCTTCCAAGATAAATCAAGGTGCTATCACAGAATGGTGTAAAGTGCTTTCTCCTGATGGGGAACAGCAGCTAATTAAGATAAGCCATCCTGGACTGTATGAAAGGTATAACTGATGCATGGAATGAATTGATCAAATTAATAAATTCAGTATGAATCTTTTTTGTCAAGAAATGTAAATAGTTGAATGTATTTCTGTAAAATTAGACTATGGAAAAAGTTGTACCTCAGTAGCTAGCAAAGATTCAGACTACATAGCTCAGAGGTATAGCCAATTAGTTTGATAGGATTTTCACATATTAATTTAATCCCTTTCCTATCATTTTGAATAATAGCCAGGGCTCGACAAATCCACTTATCTACTCCCCTGTGGCGAGTAGATTTCAGCTGGTCACCCTGTTCACCGGCGGTTCGGCATGCGCAGTGCGGGTCTCGCGCATGCGCAGTGTGGGGCTGGCGAGTGATTTTTGCTGCAGTTTGTCGAGCCCTGATAGCTATTAGAAGGTGAAGCAAAGTCTGTCACCTGAGGGAAGCACTCGAGGGACTGTCAGGGATCTAAAGCTCAGTTTATCCTATAACTGAAACAGTATTTTTAGTGCTTTTTTGGCACAAATAATTTATCATAGGCCAAAGCGCTAGGGAGAGCATTTTTTCCTTTATTTGTATACCTAATAGTCTCTACTACCTATAGGAAGCAAAGAGGTTGCTTAACTTAAATTATCTACAAGTTATTTTTACAAATATTAACACAAAATTGACTAGGTAGCAATTTTGAAATTATTTTAATGTTAATTTTCTGTATCCCTTTCATACATTTCTTAAGGCCAAATGCTACTTGGCATGATTATACAAATAGTTAAATTGTAATTAGTGCAACTGCTGCTGTGAATATGTAAACAAGACAAGCAGCACTTCAGCCCTTAGTTTGCTCATTATCAGGAAGTTGTGTTAATGATGCAGTTAACAGTTTACTTTCTAAAATAAAACCCATGTCCTTATTCATTGCTTGTAAGGCACCTACTTAAGCCGGGGGTTCTCATAACAAACTTTTCGGTTTGTCTGCTAGTATACCAACTTTAGAAAAAGCAAATAAATATGCACGTATATGTGTCCAAATCTTATTAATTTATTTATGATGGGATTTTTTGTAGATTCAGTCATAAAAATAATGTGTAGTTGTGTCTCTTTTTTTTTTTTTTTCCTGGACCTAAACAGAATAGAAACACAAATAAGGTGCTTTGCATGTAGTTTGGTATACTTTTTTGGTTGCTGGTTGTTGTTTTTCAAACTTACTGGCTACTAAGTCTGTTTCTGTGAAAAGTAATATTTGTACATTGGTTAGTATCACCTTTCACAGCAATAGATCTGTTGGGAGGGGGTTTTGTGGAAAAGATGGAATGGGGGCAGAAAGGGGCAGAGCGGGAGTAGAAAGAGGTGGGACAGGGTTTTGCAGGGATAGGGCTTGGGGAAAGAGGTGGAGTGGAGACAGGAAGAGGCAGAGATAGTCCTGGAGCTGAGGGGGGGATGGACCTGATGAAGGGTTACTTGTTTTGCTCCTTTATTGAATTCACATAAGAATATCTTGGAGATTAGCTTTATTCTGTTCTACCCTGACTCTAGATTTACTCTTTAAAGCTGTCAACTTTCTGGTTGATTTAACTAAGGTATATTTGTCTGATCTAAATGATTGTTGTCTTTTTTATGAATTATCTTATTAATACAGGTACATCAGAACAGTTATAGCATGGTGCAGAAGTTTGAATGATGATGAGGGAGATACTCTATCTGAAACCGAGAGAAACTGGTACTCATCATATATAACTTGCTATTAAGAATATAGAAAGAAACCAGCAATGTTTTAAACCTTAAATATGACACACCATACTACTTAAATTTAAACCCACTTATTTTGTGTGACCCCCCCCACATCATTTTATCTTACAGACTAGGGATGTAAGCGAGTAGTCGACTATCTGATAAGTAAATGCTTATTGAATAGTCGACTAGTCACTTGCCTGTGCCCCAGCTGCCTCAAAGAGGAAGCAAGGGCAGAGGGGGAGCAGGATCCCATGCTGGGTGGAGCCAGCTTAAAAGCCAGTCCCCCCTCCAGCATTGCCTCCATGGGGAGAAGGGGTAGGGGTGCAGCAGGGAACTGGCGGTGCTTCCGCCTTTAAAATGTAACAAGAACAGGGTTCTTGCTACATTTCAAAGGCGGAGGTACCCTTATCAACTAATCAAATAGTTGATGCCAATTACATCAACTATTTGATTAGTTGATTAATCTACATTTAACATCCTTATTTTAGACCATTCAGGAAGCTTGTGTTTAAACAGAGGCTTGTTTCCTCATAACTATTTTCTGTTTCTGCACTGAAGCTATAATGCTGAAGCTTTTGCCAATGCAGAAAAAAATATTAAATAGTGATTTGATTTTGTTTCAAAAAGAGAAAGTGGGCTTTGAGAGAATCATCCTTATTAAAAAAAAAATACTTCCATAACTGCATAAGGAATCCACCCCTCCTCCCCCTAAATATATGCTTGCTTATGACAATCTACTTCTATAAAGATCTTACAGTCAGAACAGCAAAGTCTTTCACATTTTAAATTCTGTGTACTCCCCATTTTTGGAAGTACTCAGCATAATAAGCACTAAGAATACTGATTGTTTAGTTTGAAGCATGGATGACAGTTTTGTACCCTTCCTGCTGCTAAAATGTTTAATAGCTCCTGTTCTAACACAAGAGCACATCTTGTGCTCCTACAGAATCTGTAACAGTAAAGGGTTTACTTAATCACAATTCTGTCTGATGTATTTTTATAAACTGCTATTACAAATAACTTCTAAAATTCTCAGATATTTAAAATCTTTTGTTGTGTACTTTCTGCATGTCACAGAATTTTATATAAACCATGTATATACAGTTTTCCCAGTATGTATGATTTTTAAACAGTGATAAGAAGAGACAAATATAATTTTTAAAAAAATAGGGAAATATGATCACAACCCCACAGTAATTGGCAAGGATTTTAGGGACAGCTGCAGTACTTTGAAAGTTCTTCCAACTTAAATTAACTAGAGTTAAATTATCTAAATTTCTGTGTCTTTTAAAATTTATTTTGTGTGTGTGTATACACATACACACACTATTCCTTAGCACTCTTCAAGCATAATTTAAGAATATAGGTACACAAACATAATTTGATCGAAAAAACTCAATAAAATTGGTCGAGGGAGAATATTCTCAAAGTAGAACCCTCATCCTTCAAACAATTGTATATTCAACCTTTTAAGATCAGCATTTCCATTGACCTTAAAAATAAGAAGTGGGGGAAGAGGCAAGAGCAAATCATTATTTTATTTGTACAAGTCATTAGTAAAATTGCAAAAGGAAATAAAATAAGGGCAAAAATACAATTGACAAACTTTTCATTATCTATCTGCTCCCACTAAAATAAGTACATTTTTAATCTTCTTACAGGTCTGTTGTTGCTGAACTTGAGAAAATACAAAGATTTAACTGTATCCTTTCAACAAATATTTCTTTAACATATTTTGAATATATATATGGTAATATATTGGATAATGTTTAATGACCCTGTGTCCCTTTATTCCTTTTATTAGATAAGTCTCTCCTTTCAACAGTTACTATTTAAAAAAAAAAAAAAAGTTTCTTCCTGTTATTTATTCTAGGAATGCTTTCCATGCACACCACTGAAAACTCCAGAAAACTACACACAAATCCTCAGAAGAAAATAGCTCTATTGTTCAATCTTCTTTATTGTATCTTTTCATTAAGTGCCCCGGGTGTGTCTAATACAGCACCTTAAACTCGAAATAAAATATGCAACTTACGTAGCTCAAATTGACACTCTTATTTTGATTCTATTTTGAAATACCTTATTTTGAAATTTGGCACAGCTATACAGTAAGGATGTTAAATAGTGACTAATTGATTCAATTAGTTGATAGGGCGATTCCACCTTTGAAGTGTAGTAACAGCCTTAAAGGGCTGTTGCTGCACTTCAAAGGTGAAAGTGCTGCATGGAGCCCAGGATAAGTTGGGGACTCCAGCTGATTCTGAGCTTCACGTAGCGCTGCCACTTTAAAACGCTGAGTGCAGCCTGATGCTGGGCTCCTCGTGGCATTTCAAAGTAGCAGTGCCACATGGAGTCCGGGATCAGCAGGGAAGTCCCCAGCTGATCCTGGGCTCCATGCAGCGCTGACACTTTGAAACGCCATGTGCAGCCTGGGGACATCTCAGCTGGCCCCAGGCTGCACATGGCGTTTCAAAGTGGAAGCGCCGTATGGAGCCTGGTGTCTGGCCGCAGTCTCAAGCGGCGCTGCCTCTTTAAAGTGCCCCTTCTCTTCTCCCATCTTGCTGCCTCTTACTGATACAGGCACCAAGGATTGGGGAGGGAGTGACTAGTCAACTATCCGATAAGCATTTGCTTATCAAATAGTTGACTAGTCCTTCACATCCCTACTACACAGCACCAAATTTTGAAATAATGTCCTATTTCGAGACACCCTCATTCCACGAGGGTTAAGGGATAACAGAGATGCCGAAATAGTGCACCCGTTATTTTGGAAAATATTTCAAAATAACAGGTGGCTTGTTAAAATGCAGGGCAGCTATTTCAGGATACTTCCAGTATCCCAAAATAGCCACGCAGTGTAGACATACACTGTCAAAAGAGGTGATGAATGTGTCTTTTGGGCATATATTTGGGATAGATAATGAAGTTATCAAGTGTCTCAGCTTTGCTCCAGTGTTTAGCCTCCTGCAAAACAACTGTTATTACATATACTCAGAATAATATATAATTGTCCCTAAATCTACTTCAAAAGCTTGTTAATAGGCAATATCAATTTCTTTACACTGCACAATCTGGCATCTCCCATGGTGGCTTCTCTTCTAAATACAGTTTCTGATGTATAAAGAAAAATTCATTTAACATAAAGATTTGATTGAAATAAGATGTAGAAATTTTAAAGAGCTTTCATTTATTTGATTCCATAGCTGTATTTATTAGTTAAAGTATGCAATGGATAAAACAATGGTTAAAATATTTTAAAAGCATTTCTTTCATTGTTAGAAGGGAGACAAAACAGTTTGAAGCTTCCTTAACCAACCAACTGCTAGTTTTACTGGAGAACAGCAATGTTCCAAACAAGACACCGGCTATGAAAAATAATCTGTCTCATATTACCGATAGACAGCCAGAAAACAGTTTGTCAGAGGATATGAGTAAAAGGAGTATATCAGAGGCTTTAGAAAAAACTTCAAAAGTTATCCAAGATATTGAATCTCTCCTGGCCTCCTCTGGGAAGTGACACTTGAACAAGTACTTGAAAGCCAGGCATTATTTAAAATATTTATGGGCTCTATTCTGTAGTCTTGTGTATCAGTGGGATTTGTGGGTGAGCAAGGAACTAAAGAGTTGGATGCTGATACTTTTTGCTCCAAATAAATGACTTTGACCTACTGTAACAAGAGAATGCTAACATGCCACCGAGATATAGGCCAGAACAGAAATTATATATATTTATCTAGTCTTGTTCTATTTACAGGTAGAGATTGAGTAACAGTGCCTTCTTTAATAGAAATTTAAAATGGTAGTGCATGTTTGTAAATTCCAGTGTATGTGACTTTTATACGGAACTGTTTTAACCAATTGTTACTAGTAAATAACTGACAAAGATCATATGGTTAAGCAATTTTTAAATTTGAAAATGTTTGTTTTATTTAACAGATCAAAGGACTATTCAATATGAACCCTGAATTATTTTTGCTCTGATATTTTTTATTGTAAAATAGATTAAAAAAACACTTTATTCTCTAAAAGTTTTACTAACCCTTATTTTTCAGTTAATTACTGTTCCCTTGTAGTGTCTTCCCCAAACTCCACAGCTGCCTGCCATAGTCTGGTGAAAATGAGTGTGGGTGTGAGTATGAGGGGGGGATGGTGTGGGTAAGGGTTGGGGCCAGATCATGGGGAATGGTGCTTTGGTTTTCTGCGACTAAGGCAGCCTATACAAATCCATTGACAGCTGTGGCTTATTTTTATGGATGCAGAAATGAAGTTTCTATCTAAAATCCTGCAAATTTGTGGATATCCACATCTTCAGATGTGGATATCTACAAATCATTTTTGCAGGTGCGGATACCAGTTTTGAGTCCGCACAGGGTTCTACCTGTGCAGAACAGTGTAGCAACACAACCTTGAACTTCTGGTAGAATAGTGATTGAAATGTAGCCGTGTTAGTCTGCTGTAACAAACAAAAAACAGGACTATGCAGCACTTTAAAGACTAACAAGATGGTTTATTAGGTGGGCCAGACCCACTTCCTCAGATCAAATAGTGGAAGAAAATTGTCACTACCATATATACCAAAGGATACAATTAAAAAAAATGAAACATATGAAAAGGACAAATCAAATTTCAGAACAGAAAGGGGGTGGGGGGAGAGGTAACCATCTTGTTAGTCTTTAAAGTGCTGCATAGTCCTGTTTTTTGTTTGAACTTCTGGCTGCAAGCTGGCTGGGGCAGCTGGCAGAGTGGTTTACAGCCTCTTCCCTAGTTGGTGCTTATTTATCTAGGGAAAGTTTTACAAGTGACCGCTGCTTATGGGGCTGGCTGCAGGTATCACTTGGACGGCTGCTCAGGCCACAGGCTGGTGGTATGTAGAAATTCACTACCTTGTAGGAATGTGCTACTGCTAGCACTTTCTCATTTGTACTATCATAAGGAAATAGTCCTGTAAGAAACTGCTACCAGAAGTAGCACAATCTTACAGGGAACAGTTCCATACATTTCTGTGTATAGAACTGCTCCGTGTAGAAATGTGCTACTTGTGGCAGTTTCTGATCCTCAGTAGTAAGGAACTACTCCTGTAAGGAACTGCTACTGGAAGTATACCACAGTAAAAATAAAAGGTAGCATGTACTATAAGAGAGTTACAGAAAGAATTGCTATTACCGTATATACTCGAGTATAAGCCGACCCGAATATAAGCCGAGGCACCTAATTTTACCGCAAAGAACTGGGAAAAAATATTGACTCGAGTATAAGCCTAGGGTAGGAAATGAGGCAGCTACTGGTAAATGTAAAAAATGAAGATAGATACCAATAAAATTACATGAATATTTATTTCAAAGAAAAACAATAACCTAGCTCTGTAAGTGGAAAAGGGGGTCAACAAAAACAATATGGTATCAAAAATACCGTAACTTTAAAAGTACAACAACCTTAGCTCAATCAGCAACCAAGCTCAATCAGCTCCCCATAGCTCTTTTCCTCAGGTGTCCCGGCTTCCTAGCTGTTTTCGTGTTTTTAGCTGAGGGAAACTTGCAGATGGCAACTCCCTCTCCACATATACCATTCCCCCGACACAGAGGATAAAATATTTCCACAATCCCTGGGCAGATCCTGCTTTCCATAAGGATTTTATCCTTTCCATTCAGGCCCCTTACCTTATCTCTTCTCTTCAGCCTGCGCCGAGCCGCGCTTCTGCCTCCGGACCCGCCCCCTGCCCACAGCACAGTGACAAGCCAATCACTGGCAGTCACTGTGCAGCCAACAAGCCTATGTATGTGCGCTGTTCATCGCACATACATAGAGCTTTCAGACCTCAGAAATTGACACGAGATACTTTGATGATGAATTTACAGCACAGTCCATAACAATAACACCTCCTGACAGATACGACAACCTGGATGCCTTAGAACCTGACCAGCGTACTCACTTTCCTCAGTTCTCGAGACGCTGACTCGAGTATAAGCCGAGGGGGGGCATTTTTCAGCACAAAAAATGTGCTGAAAAACTCGGCTTATACTCGAGTATATACGGTAAGTGTTTTTGAGCATTAACTATTAAAACAATAACAAATAGTATGTGACATGCATTACACAGAGTAATAGAAATAACATTTGCAAAGGAGCAAAATTACAATTAAAATGGGTTACGGCAGTGTTTCCCAATTTTATTTGGCCACAGGACCCTTTTAAACTTGAAAGAATTTTGCAGAGTTGAAAAAGTAGACCACAAATAAGTACGGAAAATAATTAAGAAATGTTAAACAAAGTGATGAGATCAATAACGTTTAGTTCAATTGCACGTTTAAAAACAAAAATCACATCGTTTTTAAATCATAAAATGTTATGGTCATGGAATTTTCTCACTGAATCCTTATTTTCACTTCCCAGAACCCTGCAGAACACCATTTGGGAATCATTGGGTGACAGTGATGGGAGTGAAATTCAGTGATTCACGGGCAGCAGACAAGACAAATGTGTGAAATGTTCTGAGACACCATGTTCTGTCTTTAGCCCCTTTTCTCATTTTAATCCCCTTTAAAATGTACTAAGCAAAAACTTCTACATAGGAAGGGAAGGGAGAGGGGGCAGGGCAGTCTGCAGCCCTATTGAGCATGCTCAGTGCGTCCCATTTGAAAAAAATATATAAAAAAGCAGGTTTAAGCAAATTTTAAAAGCCCCTCGGCCACTCTTTAACTTGTGCCTCATTCCCACTGGGGTGACTTTTTACCCCTTCTGCCCTGCCTGTGCTGGGGATTTGTCCTCAGCTGAAA